GCTGTTTGGACTCGGTAAGTTGAAATTATTCAAACAAACAATTTTCACGATTAAAAAAGTATAAAAATAAGTATTTCCCAATCGAATAATATTTCAATTGAAATCAAAATAGAGCCTTCTCTTTGTTAGTTTATCTAAAGCAATCATTATTATAGATAAGTTCTATATCTTATTAAGATCAAATATTAAGGATTAAATTTGAAAGTCTAAAATTGTTTCTATTATTTGTTTATATCAACTCGTAAAAGTTGATAAAACAAATATAATTGTACAATATCTTTAGGTCTGTCCAACTCAAATACAAGAGCATTATTTGAGTCATATTCATCAAGAAGCAATAATTCGGATTATACATCGCTTACTGTCAAGAGGAATAAATGAACAATATGAACGAGTATCAGAAATTGATTTTGATGTCAAACAAAGTGCTTCTAGTCCAATAATGACAACAACAAATGACAATGTCGGTACATCGATACAAGAAATCTATGAAACACTAAATATTCTTGCTAGTGGAATTCAAACATTAAATGATGATATACAACGTCTTAGTAGTGAATCAATTCGATTACAAAGTTCAATTGAATTTGTCACACAAGAATTTTCATCGATCAAATTGAATATACAAGAACAAAGTGCTTTTTTAGATAGTGTCAAATCTAATCAAGAAATTCTTCAACAAGATGTTGCATCACTGAAACAAAAAGTTGATGATATGCAATATGTATCTTATGATGGAACATTAATATGGAAAATAACCAATTTTCATGAGAAAATGAGTAAGTTTAATTTGAATAAAAACAACATTGTATGAATGAAACAGGGGATTCAATGTTTTCATCAATAATAATAGCTAATTTATCAATAGAAACTAAGAGATCTTTTTTTAACCTTTTCTAGATTCCAATATTTGTAAGTGTTCATTTAGTCCTTTTTTGTATTAATGAAAGGGAAAAATAAATACATGTTCTAAATGATTTACTCATTTCCTAGTGAATTCTCAATTAGAACGACAAACATCGATTTATTCACCTCCATTTTATTCGTCACCGACTGGCTACAAAATGAGAGCTCGACTTTATCTAAATGGCGATGGTGATGCTCGACATACACATATGTCATTGTTTTTTGTTCTAATACGTGATCCAAATGATCCAATATTAAAATTTCCCTTCAATTGTAAAGTTACATTTTGTTTGTATGATCAAACTCCTCGACAACAACATATTATCGATTCTTTTCGACCAGATACTCGATCGGATTGTTTTCAAAGACCAAGATCAGAAATGAATATTGCTAATGGTATACCTAAATTCTTTCCATTGATAATTATTCAGCAATAAGATAACCCATACGTACGAGATGATACAATGTTTATTAAAGTCATAGTTGATTTTGGTGATATGCCAAAAACATTGTTACCATATGCATTGAGTCTTAATCCTGGATTACCAACAAATGTTCAACAATTAATGATCAAACAAGAGATAGAAAGAAGAGCACAACAACAATCTCAACAAACGTCATGTGCATCGAGTCTTAATGCTGAGCCGTCAATGCATATTCAACAAATGCCAATTGAAGAAGGAGAAGAACAAGTTTCACAAGCACCAGAAGAAAGAGAACTTTATGAAAATGGGATCAGTTGTGAAGAAATTCGACGTAATGAAGATGTTCAAAATGACCATTAACTTTTTTCATCAACACTTTTAATATTAATCCGAACTGATTGAGATTGTATTGTAATATATTTGAAAACATTTGTATATGGGCAAAATCATTTGTTAGCGACGTGACTTCGCAAAATTGAAATGCATATAGCTCTGGACAATGAGCTTATCTAGAGCTGATTTTTTATATCCTGTACGTATATTAAGTTGTTCTAGACACCTTGAAAGAAACAGCCCTAGGGATTCTTGTTCATCAGAGTTATGATTAAAAAACTAGCGTTAGCGACGTGACTCAAAAAAGGACATCAACTTCCACTACAAGCATTTCAGTTTGAAAAATCTGCGAATCGAAACAGTATTTTCAAAAACTAAATA